AATATTAGGAATGTGTATTCTGGTGCTGGCCCGAGGCCAAGAACAGGGCCACTTCCAATGAGCAATGGCCTAATACACAATGCTCCTTTCCCTTCAGGTGGTAGCTATGCATGCATATATTTCCAAGTGATAAAAAAAAGATTTCAGAATTCATAAATACCCCTGTGAAACAGTATTGAAAATTATCCAAAAGTAAAGGGTCTAAAGTGAAAATGTGTATACCCAACGCTTGCTGGCAAGGACTGTTTGTTTTAAAGCATCAAGGAATTGGTGAGTAGATGGAGATGGCATGCACAATCTCTCTGCACTCATCTTCATTCTTAGAGCATTCTCTTCAGGCCGGAACAGCTGAACATGACCGTCTTTGGTCCTGATTGCTTTAAGACCTTCTAATACTCCCTGATGACACCACCGTATTGGGATAAATGCTTTTAACCACTAGAATTACAAGCTTCAATACTTCGAACCTATTATTAAATTGTGACTAGTTAATGTATAACCTGTCCATAATTCAAGATTCCAGAAAATGGGCTGAGCTCAATTTTCCCATAGGGAGCGAGGTGGCCTTGTGAAAAGTTATCCCCAATATGTTTGCCTCCATTTGATTGTTAAAGGAACTCTAGTGAACATTGAATAGCATATGAACTTGTGATTGATTCAAACCATTTGAATTACAATGTTTGTGCCTTCTTTTGAATGAGTTAGGACATTTGGCCAGTTGATAATAAGGCCCATGTGACCATCATGGGAATATGGCCTCATTGGAAACCCTAATGAGGATTATAGAAGCTATCTCATTGATATTGTTTCTTTGATTTCTGACTATGAATTGTGTCTCAGCCCTTGAATTGTTTAGTTTCGTTTTGTGTACTCTAGAGTCCTATCTTGAGATATTATATAGTTATGATCCTCATACTCATTGGTGGTCATATTTAGTTGCTTACTGAGCTTTGTAGCTCACCCTTTCCTCTTCCATTTCAGATTAGCTAGGAATAGAATTGGCTCATTTCCGATTTTTTACTGCACTAACGAAGATGTTTTGGATTTGGGGGACTTTAGATTGTAATGTTGTACTTTTGGATACACTATGTGGAAATGGAAGTGTTTATGTTTAGTTTTGGTAACCTTGCAGATCCTGGTAGTTCAAATGCAGCTATGTAATGAATAAATCTAATTATTCTTTTAGTGATTTGGAGGGTGACAATATGGTATCAGAGCATTAGGTTACCCTGCATTCTATGCAAAAGCTATGCTTTTGGACTGAAGGTTGTGTTGTCATGCATAAGGTTTGTACTTTTGTAGTTTGTGTAGATAGGAAATGTGATAGAGTTTCTGTGATGCAGTGATTCAAAATTTGTATGATATGCTTTGAGCTTGTGTGTTGGACAAGAAAGTTATGGTTATTAGAGAAGAAGAAACTTGGAGTTTCATGTAGGTGATTATATGAATTTACCTTTCAAAGTAGTGATGACATTGTGGATGGAAAACTTAGTTTAAGACATTGGATCATTTTAAGCATTTGAAAGAAATGGACAAGTTTCACTTGACAGATTTAGAGAAGATGCATATAGAACAGTTTCTTTCTCTCTAAGAAGTCATTTTCTATTTCTTTTTTCTTCTTGAATTCTTCTCTCACCTCGCCTCTGCCCTTTATCTTCTTTTATTTTCCCCTTCTTTTTCTTCTTCTTTTCTGAAACTGTGTACGTAGTATATGTGAATGCCTCCCTTTACTCAGATTGGAGGGTTCTTTCTCTTATTGGAGCTAGATTGTGATCAAGGATATATATATTTAACTATAATTTTTTCTCTGCATATTAGCAATGAATCATCCTCTTTGTAGTACCACAATCGTCATTGGAATTTTGGCTACAAATCGTCATTGGAATTTTGGAAAGCAAAGCTAGACTAACCAAAGCTCTTGAAGATTTGCAATACTAATGTGTCATGGAAGTTTGAACTTGAGACCATTGGTCTACAAGTTAAGGTCTTTTTTTTATTGGACTAGACCCACTGACAATGTTATTAATGAGTTTTACAATATTATCCTCCCTCTTTCTAGACTTCAAGTCTCCTTAAAACAAAAAACAAAAAATAAAACATGTAGCTCTATTAAGAAGAAAACTTTTAATCACTTGGTGACATCATGATCATTTTTTTAAACATCAGAATGATACGACAGTCTTCATAAAAAGGGTAAAAGGGATATCAAAAGAATAAAAAGTCCTTTCTTCTGTCAACATAAAGTTACTGGTTTTGCGGTCAATTTGCTCCGCAAAATATTGGCCGCTGATACCGTGACTCTCAACGTTACTTTACCTTAAGTTTCAACTCTATAATTGATTGAAAAAAGGAAGGAAGAAATCCAGGTCTGATTGCACAAAAGTGGCCCTGATATCATGTCCCAAATTTCCTCTACCCGCAAAGCAAGCATGGTTCTGAATTATTACAATCCAAGATACAAAGTATCATCTGAATTTTGTGACTTTGTCTAGCATTCTTCTTATTCTTCTTCTTCTTGTTCGTCCCACCGCCTCTTTTTTTTTTAAATTTATTTAGACATTTCTCATTTCCGACTATGTTCAAAGTTCGAATCACATGTATTCGGTTGATTAAAAAAACAAGGCAAATAACTGAGTTACGTATAACAAATAATTAAACTATACTGGGTGAGAAAAAGTCATTGCCGGATCTGTGAAATGTAATGCTAAGAGTCACTAAGAAAATCTAGCAACAAGAACTGATGTTGCGTTATTGGCTTTTCTTCCTCAAGTAAAGATAGTGACATGAAAATTCACATGATTACTGTTCCAAGCGTGACTTAGCTTGACATGATCAATTTAGAATTCTTCAAATTTCCATGCTTCTCTCTGAATCTCTGGCATATGTTTCGGCTCCAAAACAATAATAAAAAACAAGTTTGGGACGGCCGTGTTTATTAAACAACAATTAATCCCATTCAATCATTCATACTGAGATTAATTATATTTTAGAAAAGTATCACGGGGCATCTTGCAGCAAAAGGCGCATATGCCCTTCTACCAAGTAGCTTTATTCGGTTGGTTGTTACTAAGTAGCAAACAGTTTATTAGGTTTTTTGTTTTTTCCCAACTGATCATTCACATCATTGGCAACGGACTATTGGTTCATTGGGGGAAATGTGGGGCCTTGCCTGTTCTACAATAAACTGTTTGCTATACATATGTCGGACTCCTTGCGTGTATTTGTTCTTTTTTTAAGATATGTCTAACAGCATGCTTTGAGTTTGAGCCTAAGCTTCTCTCTATAAATACCAACATCCCATGCCCCATTTGTGTTAAGATTATCTTGCATTCCACTTGGGTCTTTCACAAAGATATACAACCATGGCCTTTAGCAACCTTTCTCTATCCATATGCTCCATTGCATTACTCTTAGCCGCTCAAGTCTCCCTAGCCCGAAAAGTCGGTTATGCCCCGAACCCCTCAAACCCCCACCAAGACTTCGTCGACGAACACAACAGAGCTCGAGCAGCAGTTGGCGTCGGTCCAGTCCGATGGAACAACACTGTAGCAGCCTACGCTCAGAACTATGCGAACACAAGAATCAGAGGGTGTGACATGGAGCACTCGGGAGGGCCTTATGGCGAAAACTTGGCGGAAGGCTATGGAGAAATGACGGGAGCTCAGGCCGTGAAGTTTTGGGTGACTGAGAAACCAAACTACGACTACGGCTCCAACAAATGTGTTGGGGATGAATGTGGGCATTACACTCAGGTGGTTTGGCGGAACTCGGTTCATCTTGGTTGTGCTAGGGCTAAGTGTGACAACAATTGGGTTTTTGTCATTTGCAGCTACGATCCTCCTGGTAACTATGAGGGCGAGCGTCCCTATTAGAATTGGAAGGCATTTGATCAAGCTGAAGAAGTAGAGATGGTGGACTGGAACTTGGAACAGATTGGATGTTGTTGGTTGATATTAAAGTAGTAGTTTGGACTAAATAATGATTGGGTGGAGTTCACGTGAAGGTGGGGTCTCTCATTTGTAAAACCTCATGTGGTGAACAAATGTACTATTGATGTGATGACCCTTTCTAGCTCTGAAGTTCGTTTTTACTCTTAAAGAATGTATTGTTCTCTATTGAGAAAAATTAAAAAAATTCAGCGCTAAGAAAGTTTATATTGAGTACTTATAACTCATTGTATGCTCATTCTGTGGTAATATGCTATTCCTTGATAATGTTTTTTTTTCCGTAAATTATATTAGTTTAGACAATCGCTTGTATAATTTTTACTTGTTAAAGATTTCCTGATTCAAATTTCATGAACATGAGTTTTTTTTATTTATCTTGAATTAAATAAAAAAAAAAATTCTTACCTTTGGAAAGAAATCTACCTTCTTCTTTTTTTTTTTTTTTTTTTGGAAACGGGACCAAATTTTATAGAAATATATCAAAATTTTCTGCAAGAAGAGTGGCGCCATAGTCTTTACTCACGTTTTAGTAACATCTTCAATTAGAAACTTATCCTTCCATGACATTTTTTAACAACACAACCATTAATTTGCATTTACACTGCCATCTCCAAATGGGTGACACCTTTGGAAACGGATACAAATCAAACCCAAGAATTCCTCAAGACACCCAATAATGTTCTACCCTGTTACTTCTTCTTTCCATCTTATCCATTAGAAAAAGAAAAAGAAAAAGAAAAACTAGTTGACCTGCAAAGAAGAAAAGAAAAGAAGAACTTACTTTAAAAAAAAAAAAAGGAAACTCACCAAAGAAATTGTCTTCCCTCCTTATTGTGAGTAAAACTTGGTGTGGACGCATTCCAAGCACAAAAGATGTGACACCACAAATTTCTACGGGTCTCTTCTTTCTTTTCTTTATTTGGCCCCTCTTCTATGGCAATCTACAGAATCCAAAAATAATAATATTCAACCCTCCCATTTTTAAGGGCGTATTTTCGAAGACCCTCTTTGCGGACACAAACTTGCCTGTGTCTCTATAAATATGCACAATCCCATGCCCCCTTTCAATCAACATCTAACAATCCAACCTTCCCTACTACAAAGAAAAGACCTTAAACTTCTCATATCAAGAAACAAAAATGGCATTCAACACGAAGCTTCTTTTGGCCATCTGCTGCGTCGCATTGGTCTTCACTCTTGTCTCTGCAAACATTTCCCAAGAAGAGATCGATGGCTTCGTTGAGGAGCACAACAAGGCTCGTAAAGAGGTCGGCAACAAACCCCTCAACTGGAACACGACCTTGGCCCAGTATGCCCAAGAATATGCCGATAAAAGAGTTGGCGACTGCGCCATGGAGCACTCAATGGGACGTTGGGGTGAGAACTTGGCCTCTGGCGACGGCATGAGCGGCGCAGCTGCCACCAAATATTGGGTCACTGAGAAGGAGTTGTATGACGAAAAGTCCAACAAATGCCTCAAAAGCGAAGACGAATGTGGTCACTACCTTGCTTTGGTATGGGGCAAAACCACCGAGGTCGGATGTGGCATTTCAAAGTGCAACAATGGACAGAACTATGTGGTTTGCAGCTACGATCCCATGTACCAGCCCGAGGACGAGCGCCCCTACTAGACAATGTATGTGTGCTTGCGTGCGCACACGCACACCTACACGATGCCGGTTGAAAAGTCCTGTGTTTTTTTTCTGTTGCGAAATTAGAAAAATAAAATGTAATGGGTGTATACAAATTCTTTCCCACACCCACCACATTGCTGTACGTGACTAGCACTTGACATGATATTGTGAACGGTTACAAGAGAATGAATAAAAAAAAAAAAGGAAAAGAATAATATAATTTCAGTTTTGTAAAATCTAACCGAAATATTATCTCATTCTCTTTACGTTTTTTTCGGTCAATCTCTCTCTTTCTGAAATATTATCTCATTACCTCATTCTTTCATTTTTGGATTAAAACCCTTGGTCAAGATTGTGGTTGCAGTGATTAAAGCTAGGAACTTGGATCGCTTATGTCATTATAGATTTTGAAAATTTGAATGTTTTTATTGTTGTAATTATATTTCACCAATTATGTCGATGTTTGTTTTTTCATCTTAAGTGAGGAAAGATTCGAATTTGAGACTTCTTACATTGGAAAGAAAAATACAAGTAGACAAAAATCCATTACTTTGGTAAGAAACTTAAGGCTAAATAAGCCTACGTATTTTCTTTTGAGTGCTGCTATTTCCACCTCCTGATCTCCCTATAAGTTGGAACATCCAACGCCACGTATGAGGTCTGTCAACATGCCCGAAAATCCTACGCCACGTGTGACCTACCATCTCATATCACATATCACATATCACATAATCTCCTCATACGTCGAAAAATCCTACGCCACACGAATTTTCAAGCCTAACACGTGGACAACACATTTTAGGTGACATGGAGCACGTGTGGCCATTGCGCTTTCACACGCTCTGATGCCATGAAGAAAGTTGAGGTTCCACCCCAAAACTAATTGGAAATGGGGGGAGTAACCCAACTCCTTATAAGCCATTGCAAGGTTTTCTAACTTTCCAATGTGAGACTTTTTACTTTCACATTCTCACACTATTTCCCCACCCACCTTATCTTCCCTCCCACCATGTAAATTTGATAAAACACAATCTTATTTTTTCAACCAGCATTATTCGTAAAATACCGCAGCCCACTATTATTTCAAATAAAATTTATAAAAATGAGAATTTTAAAAAAAAGTAAGAGCATTTCCAAGGTTAAGTCCAGCCCTGACAAAAGGTTGCCAGGCCAAGAAATGCTTCTCAAGCGGTACAAAACAACCTAGGTAAGGCGTGGACTCAACCAAGCCTAGTAGGCAAGAACAACCTGAGCCGTTGTCTGAGAGTTGTGACGTCAGCATCGAAAAAAATTGAAAAAAATTTCGAAAAATTACAAAAAATTGAGAATATTTTTTTTTCTATACATACGTATCAATTTTTTTTAAATTATTAATCTCATACATATAAATTAAATTAATCTCATTT